TTTGTAATCCAACTATACAATACTTTCGTTCTTCCATCCATCAGTGAGTGAAAACTAATCGGGTAAAAGCGAAGTAATTTCAACTTTCTTTGTGTGTTTCTTAATAGCAAATTTGAAATAAGTTGAAAGACATTTCTAATTTACTTAAATTAGAAATGTCTTTCAATTTTAACGATTTTTTAGAATATTATTAAAAGTAACTGAAAGAATACTTCTTGTAAGTTTTAAAATTAGATTTTTTTCGGTTTTTCAGTTTCTCAAACTATTTACAGAAAATTTGGATTTTTTTCGGAATTTCAGTTACTCAAATTATTTACAGTAAATGTAGAATGTCGTTCAATTTTAACGATTTTTTAGAATATTATTAAAAGTAACTGAAAGAATACTTGAATACACAATTTAAAGGAAAATATACAGAATAAACTATGTTATTTGTTCATTATATGCAAATAGTGAAATTTATTAAACAAATCATATTACAATAGTTCAATTTTTTCACCGTAATCAATAGCAATCCAAATATTTAAAGTCTTTACATTTTGACAAATTTTGGTATTTCAGTTTCTCAATTTAAATACCCTAAATTTCAAATTTCGGTTTCTTGTAAAAAATTTCAAATTTAGATATTTTCGGAATTTCAAATTACGGTAAAATATGAATTTTTCAGTATTTCAAATTCTCAATTTATTTACAGTAATTTTAGTTTCTAAAATTAAATATTGTAAATTTAAAATTATTCATTAATTTACAGTAAATTTCGATAATATAACTGTCACAAATATAGCTATTTTATATGAAGTATATCATATATGAATTGTAATTTTGCAATATCAGTCGAGGAAGATGATGTTTGACGACGGCCATGGAATTTATTCATTGACAAGTTGAGTTATTTTAGGAAAGCGCCGGGACGAGATTTTATAACTGTTCCATTTTCTTCACACTCATACATCGAATCCCGTTAAGACAAGTTAAATATTAATGTCCTTGCTCGTAGCCGCATTTCAGTTTCGTGCGCGACCATAACATTCACACATTCGAAATATTTTTCATTCGTTTTATCTGTGTCAATCTAATTATATTTTTTTTTTGTTATAATAATTAAGATTATTGAAGATTCTGTTTTTTTTGTAGATATTTACTAATGTATTTTTTTTTATTTAAATTAAGTAATGCAATGTTTTTGAAAATTAAATAATAATGACGAAGTTATTGCCAACTTTGAATATTAAAGAATTACTTTTGTTATAATAATTACGTTTTTCAAGATTCTGTTCTTTTTTGCACAAATTTGGTAATGTGATTTTTTATTAACATTTTGTAAAATAGTTCGAAAACATAGGATAGATGTCGTTTTTAAAATTTAAATAATAATGACGAAATTATTGCCAACATTGAAAATTACTGAATAACTTTTGTTACAAGATTATTTAAGATTCTGTTCTTTTTTGCCCATATTTGGAAATGTATCTTTTTTCAGGTAAATTTTGTAAGATTTAAAAATAGTTCGAAAACATAGGACAGGTGGCGTTTCAATGTTTCCTACACAAACTACCTTTGTGACTTCGAAACTACAATCAATTTGTCAATTTGGTAGCCATTACAAAAAATAATAATTTATGTCAAAAGATGAAACAAAACTTACTGCAATTTTATACTAATCTCTATATAAATTGATTACAAAGATATCAAACGTTAATAAAAATATTTATATCGATAAGAAAATTATGATTTAATTTAGATACAAAATAATTTGTGTGATTATCCTTTAAATAAGGTAATAATAAATAAGTGTCCACTGAAGTTGTGACTTTAATTAAGTAATAAAGTCCATATTAAGCATTAACGACTGCAAAAAAAATCTTAAGCGGAATATAAAAAAAATATGTTAAAAAGCACAGTTTCGCAGGTGAATTTATTGCTGAAAGTATTAAGCATGTACCCAAGTTTATAGCCTGACTGACTACACACTGCATGGATGATAAATAAGTATTATAAATTTAATCACCATAAATTTTCTGCTCGTTTTATTTTCATTGCTTTGTTTTTAAAAATTTATTTTTTATGCAATCGTTCGTGCAGAATCGACTATTAATATGCAAATGTGCAATATTTTATAAATGATATTCTTAAAACCCTTTAGATCAAATAAAATTGTAAATAAATAAATAAGTTTTTCCAAAAAAAAAAATTGTGTTAGTTTCTTATGTATAAATATCTATAGTTGAAAGGATATGAAGTTAATTAAGAAGTTTACTTTATAATTCAAGTTATGAAAGTTTTTTTCAAATTTTAATAATAATCACTCAAATTTTCCCTATAAATTTAATATATGAATAAAAATTAAAAAAAAAAACAATTTCTTTTATCTTATTTGAAGCTGAATTAATGCTGTCTACTACTAAATTATCCTTGTTTTTTGTTATGTATTGAAAAATTAAAAATTTTGGTAAAAAATATCTATTTCATATCTGTTTATAAATTGATGTGAAATACAATTGGTTATTATTTACTATTATTTCATGGACTTTTCCTCATAGATAACTGATTATGTTAGTGCGTCACGCCTAAACATAGTTCATTAAATTTATAAATTTTGTATGATTGCTTTTGCTTCCATTAATAATAAAATTTAATTCAGTCATTTTATTAGATATTATCGTAACGAGTTTAAATAAATTGAAAAAAAAAATACTTCAAGAAAGTGTCTTCACTTTGTTCTTAATTACTCAAAAACTAATAAATTTCTGAAAGACATTGTCCATTTTCTTTGTCCAGATTTTGTCCAAAATTTACAAAAAAAATGTAATTGGATATAAATTTGAATTGACATATTTATGACAGTTATTTTTTGTATAGATTTTATCTGGTTTTAGTATATAAATTTGCATGTGAGTTTATAGCTGAGAGTATTAAGCTTATACGCATGTTTATAGCAGACTACACATAGATACACCATGTAAGAAAAATAAGTATTATAAATATAATCATCATAAATATTCTTCTTTATACTTCTTTTCATGGCTCCGCGTTTAACAATTTTTATGTAATGGGCCGAGTACACGCTGGCACGTGAAGTCATTGTTCTTTCGTAAAATATTCTCATGTGGACTATTTTCTTATGTTCTTTCTTCTTATATCTATTTTTTTTATGTATTTATTGGAAAGCTATCAATCAACGTTGGCTTTTTATCTTCTCAACAAAAGTACTGAACAATGCGGGGCAGAAATAAAGAAAAATTGCGGCAATCGCGTGTCTGGTGCGCGCGTAGACCACTTTGATCGGATCTAGGGTAGTGTGGATAGATATAGTTAGGTGTAGTAGCAGTATTATATAGTGTGTGTATGTGTATATATGCGAAAACATTGGAAGCACCACCACAGTTCGTGCACGTATCTCGACCCTCGAACTTCAGCCGTTACCGTGGAACCGCTAAAAATAATCCAAACACATCAAGTATGTTTACATTCCGAAATTACCTGTCAGATGAGCATCCATGTCAAAATTTTGAGAAAATGGATGACGACGAGAATCAGTTCGTGGTTGAGGACGTCAGTAAAATTATCAATGATACCATCGAGGCCACAATCGGCGGAAACACCTACCAGCAGGACAGAGTGAATCAGTGGAGCGCCGCAGTGTCGGAGCAGTGTCTGAGCGCGCTCAGCAAGCTGAAGAAGGCCTTCAAGTATGTGGTTACCTGTTCGATCATGCAGAAGAGTGGCGCAGGATTGCACACTGCAAGCTCCTGCTATTGGGATAGCGCCACCGATGGCACCTGCACGGTGCGATGGGAGAACAAGACAATGTATTGCATCGTTTCCGTCTTCGGTTTGGCCATCTAGAGTGCATTTCATTCATTCATTCAAAATACAACTCGAACTTATAAACACACTACATCGTTCGTAAGATTTTATTTTTCAGTCTACAATGTACCATCATCAAATATTTAAATAAATATACTATATATTTTTCTCAATTTATTTATCTTCTTATCAATTTCAGCTTTCAATTCAATTGATCTGTTATGTATGGAATTCTGGACACAGTGGAATATTGTCTGGTGTTGTCATTGAGAACTCTTAGTTGTTGGAAATTTAATGAAATTCGTTTGGTTTTACATAACTTTAATTGTCGATTTATGATTCATCTGAGACTATGCTCATCATATTAAGATTCTTATAAGACTATGATCATATTTAAAGGTTTTACTGAGACTACTTCTAAATACTTATTCTACTTACGAAGTTAATTTTTATAAATACAGGGTGGGAGTTTGAAGAGTAAGGCACGGTTTTGAGAAGATTGGATCTGTCTATTCTGCAGATTGGTTTTCAGTTGAAAATATGAAGGAACGTTACAATCGGTCACTGCCTTCCGTGGAATCTGTCTATTCTGCATATTGAATCTTATAGCTCATTATCCTTAGTGGTACCCAAATTTAGTGGTTGGACACAACTGGTCATCGATATACTCAATTTCCTTCAAATTCGTATTCAACTCAACTCAGTAATCTTCGATCTTCTTATCAATTTCAGAAATTATTAGAATTAGAGAAATTATATTCTTTTTCCACATTAATGTTTCATCGAATCAACAAATAATTTTCTTCCCGGTAGAATTTTATATATTTCACACCAATATTTCCAATTAAAATATACTTGCAGAAACAAAAAAATATTCATTTTTCATTCACAAATTATTTTCCTCATTCACTGACAATTTCGTTGACTTGCTAATCTTTTATCTGACTAATGCGTTAATTTGATTTGTTGATTTTCTTGATTCAGTGATTGGTTGACTTGTTATTTCATTGATTTTATGTTTCCCTTGTTTATAAATTAATTCGTAGGTATATTCAGTCATAAAACTTATTTTTATAATATTTTCTTGTTATTTTTTACAACAATTATAGATATGAGTATAAATATAAATATACTCAAGATAATGTTTTCTAATATGTATGAAATATGATATAAAGTGTATAAACGTTTTTAACTTATAAGGTAACATAAAGTTTTTTGTTGTATTGTTATTTTGCTTTAATCGTTAAAATAACAAAATAAATGTTAATGATAATTGCTAATTATTGAGTCAATTGTTTAAAACTTTCAAATTTCTTAAGTGCATTTCCTAAGATTTATTTTCTCAATTATTATATTTATGGTATAATTTATTTAATATGAATTTTTAAATGTCCATAAATGTCTGTATTTAAAATTTGAAAAAAAAGAAACAACAAATATTTGTTTATTACATTTTTAACTATGAGAAACAACAAAATTTTAACTTATTCATGTATCTCGTATATTTCTCATATAATATTACTATCATATGCAACCCTTTATTCGAATTCGATACCTTAACATACCTTTTTCTCAATTTCCACCAATGTGTACAGTAACGTGACAACTTGAGATTCTAGAAAATCTAAAATGATTATTATTACATTTAAATGAAAAATGCATAGATAAAAACAGTAAAATTCTCGTTTAGAATTCAGAACCATCGTCAAAAGATTATCACGGCTATTAATCAACTCGTCTGTAGCCAGAAACTTTTTCTTCGTGCGTTTTTCCTATTACCTTTGCATGATAAAACGCCATAAATTAGAACCGTACCTAATTCTATACTGGTTTGTATTATCTGCTTCAAACAGTCGTGCCAATTTAATTATGTGTTAGTAATTAAACAAAACTATTACTGCTATTTCAAACAGCGATAATCTCAATTCGATAGATAATATCGAGATAATAAATAGTTGTTTACCTATTCCAGTTCACTTTTATGTATGTTTTTATTTGAATGATACTGCAATACCTCTCATAGTGCGGCTTCGTTCAGTCCGGATTTACTATAGATAGATTTGAAAATTTCAAAATAAACTAAACTTTAATCATTTTGTTTGTTTTTTTTTCATTAAAAAATAGAAATTTACTGCACAAAATTATTTTGTTGATATACATTTAGTTCTTCGTTTAGTCATGTTTCCAACAGTGCGCAGAAGCGATTATTCGGACTATATGAGGCAAACTTATTAGTATTATCGGATTTCTAGGATTTTGTTAAGAAATAATCTTAAGAAAGTTTAAAATATTTTAGAACATAATTATTGGAGTAATATTTGTTTGCTAAAATAGAAATTATGTTCGTTGAACGCCACATTCTATTTCTGGCAATCCATCGGCTATAATTTTAATTTTATCCACCTGAACCTGAAGATTCTCCAACTCAGACTTCTTTTCCATCTCAATTTGAACAGTGTCCAGCAACATTTTCAACTCTTTTTCCAGCGCAACAATCGACTCTTCCTGTTTACTCAATTCCGAATCAATATCATCAATGTATCGTTCAATATCATCCACTTCCTCGAGACACTTGTTCACCTGATCATCGTTATACTCAATTTCCTTCAAATTCGTGTTCAACTCATCCAAATGATCTTCGATTTTCATCAATTCTTCATTTTGCTCCTCAATTATCTCCGTTAGAATGTCGTGTTGTTTCTGCTTATTTTCCAAAATTGCAACTAAATCTTCATTGAAATCATCTAAAATCGTTAGAATTTCCTCATATAATTCAATAGCTTCATCCAACTCGTCTATTTCCATTTTAATATGTTTCACTAATTTATTGATTTTATCATGTTTTTCTAAAATCGTAACGTAATTAAAATTGATAAAATATATAAAGTAAACCCTAAATATATAATAAATATTAAAGAAACATATTTACCGTCAATTTTTTTGAAGAAAATCTCGGATTCATCGAAAGAAGTTTGAATATCGTCAACTTCATCTTTATAATTCATATACACTTCATTGAATTCATTAAAAGCATTCTGTATAATCTCGGATTTTTTTTTCACTTCATCCAACGTAATCAATTCTGGACTAATAATGAAATTTGTATTTTTTTCTTTAACGCTATCTATATGAGAATTAAGTTCAAGAACTTGAAGCTTTTTAACTTTTTCTAACAAATACTCAGCAAACTTTTTATTTTTCATAGATTCATTAGCCAATTTCTTGACCTCATCGATACTCGCCTTTTTCAAATCAAAGTCGTACTCTTCGCGTTTTTCGCCAAGTTTTTCTTGTAGACTTTTATTATTATTTACAATTTCTTTCAGCAAAATTCCAACATTTTTCAGATTCTTATTGATGAAAGTCTGATCTTTAGAAATCATATTCAGTTTTTGTGTAATTTTCTTATGGACATCCAAAGTTGGTACATCTTCTTCGGGAATTTTCAACGTTTTCAACGTTTTTTCGATATTAGAAATTTCTTTTTTCATTTCCTTCAAATCGATACTCTTTTCTTGCGCAAAATATTTCAACGATTCGCTAAGTTTACGTTCTACGCGCATTAGATTTTTCGTGAGTTCATCCACATTATTCACTGCAGTTGATTTTTCGTTTTGGGATTGTAATAAAAGCACTTGTGTTTCATTTTGCAGCTTCAGCAAAGCAACTTCAAATTCATCGTATTTTCGTAAATACGACTCGAGCTCAGTTCTGTTTTCAACATAAGTTTTCAACTTATTCTTCACCAATTTGTAGCACTGATCGCAGGTTTCATCTATTAATTCGCATTTTTGTCTAAAATCAAATTTTATACAATTTATCAATAATATCTATTAGAAATATTAATATTATAAAATAATTTAATTGTTTTTTTCATACCCAATAAATCCTGCATTACATACGCAAGTTCCTTGTGCATCGCAAGTTTTTTGTGATGATCCAATTAAGTCACAAAAACAATCTTTTCCAAAAATATCTATAATAATGTTAGTTCAATTAAAGTTTTTAGTTAAATTGATATATAATAAATTATTTACCTGTTATTTGAAACAGAATCAATGCAAATGCAAGAAAACACTTTAAAATATTCATTCTAATATCGTGCGACTAGAATCATTGGTTTCGCTTATATGTGGAGAGCAACACATATTATGTTATCATCATTTGCTATCTTTTCATTTCTTTTGAAAAAAAACAAATATTTGTTTATTGCGTTAAAACAATAAAAAACAACTTCTCACTTTATGAATTATAATTTTACAAAATATTCTCGATTCACAGATTTTGAATATCTCTCATACAATATCAATATTATACGCAATATCGTAATATAAATTTAACACAATTTTGACCAATTTCACAATTTGTACGAATAACGCAAAAATAATAGTATTTCCACAAAAAAAGGAATTACATGAATTAAATTAAAAAAATGTTATATAATAATCAAGTTTGTAGAATTTTCGTTTAGATTTCAGCACCTGAAGTCAGAATTTTTTTTTGTGCGTTCTTTTCTATGCAAAGGTAGCATGAGAAAATGCCATAAATTAGAACTGTTCCTAATTTTATACTGGTTTGAGTTATCTGTTTCAAACGTTCGTGCCAATTTAATTATGTGTTAGTTATTAAACAAATCTATTTCAAACAGCGATAGAGAATAATATCGAGATAATACATTTTTGTTTACCTATTTCAGTTTTTTAATTTTATTTCAATACATATTGGTTTCTCAATTTTATGGAACTAAACTATGTAAGTAATTTATGTTACTTTTTAAAAATGAGAATAAAAACATGTATATACAATTACAGTAATACCTTGCATAGTCCGGCTTCGATTCACTACATTTTGGTTTGAAAATTTCAAAATAAACTAAATTTTATTTAAGCAAAATGTTTTTGTTTGGTTGCATTTAGTGCCTCGATTAGTTCCGTTTCAAACAGTCCGACATATTAGAGAACCCTATTAGCCGGACTATGCGAGGTATTGCTTAATTTGAACTACATTCAAATTATCTAAACTTATAGGACTTTATAGGAGTTTGTTATACTTTTTCATAATGAGAATGATAACATGTTTGTGTATACAATTACAGTAATACCTCGCATAGTCCGGCTTTGATTCACTACATTTTGGTTTGAAAATTTCAAAACAAACTAAATTTTATTTAAGCAAAATGTTTTTGTTTGGTTGTATTTAGTTCCTCGATTAGTTCGGTTTCAAACAATCCAACATATTAGAGAACCCTATTACCCGGACTATGCGAGGTATTGCTTAATTTGAACTACATTCAAATGATCTAAACGTATAGGAGTTTGTTATATTTTAAAATAGATTTGTTTGATGAACGATACATTCCATATCAGGAATTCCATCTGCTATAATTTTAATTTTATCCACCTGAGCCTGAATTTTTGTCATCTCTGATCTCTTTTCCATCTCAATTTGAACAAAGTCTAGCAACATTTTCAACTCTTTTTCCAGCGCAACAATCGACTCTTCCTGTTTACTCAATTCTGAATCGATATCATCAATGTATCGTTCAATATCATCCACTTCCTCGAGACACTTGTTCAGCTGATCATCATTATACTCAATTTCCTTCAAATTCGTGTTTAACTCATCTAAATGATCATCGATTTTCTTCAAATCTTCATTTTGCTCCTCGATTATCTCCGACAGAGTGTCATGTTGCTTCTGCTTATTTTCCAAAATAGCAACCAAATCTTTAGCAAAATCATCTAAAATCTTTTTAATTTCCTTATATAATCTAATAGCTTCATCCAGCTCATCTATTTCCATTTGAATATGTTTCACTAATTTCTTGATTTTATTATGTGTTTCTAAAATCATAAATTAATTAAAATAATAAATCAAAAAACAAAGTACTTAAAAGAAATTTACCGTTAATTTTTTTGTACATAATCTCGGATTCATCAAAAGAAGATTCAATATCCTTAACTGCATTTTTATAGATCTTATACATTTTACTGAATTCATCAAAAGCATTCTCGATAATCTCTGATTTCTTCTTCACTTCTTCAAACGTAGTGAATTCGGGAGTGATAGTAAAATTGTTGATTTTTTCTTGAACTATCTCAATATCAATATCAAAAAAAATGACGGAAGGCGTTTGAAGCTTCTTAACTTTTTCTATCAAATACTCAGCAAATTCTTTATTTTTCATAGATTCATTAGCCAATTTCTTGACCTCATCGATACTCGCCTTTTTCAAATCAAATTCGTACTGTTCGTGTTTTTCGCCAAGTTTTCCCTGTAGACTTTTGTTATTATTTGCAACTTCCTTCAGCAATTTCCCAACATTTTTCAGGTTCTTATTGATGAAAAACTGATCTTTTGAAACCTTATTCAATTTTTCTGTAATCTTCTTATGGACATCCAAAGTTGGTACATCTTCATCGGGAATTTTAAACGTTTTCAACGTTTTTTCTATATCATTAATTTCTTTTTCCATTTCCTCCAAATCTATACTCTTGTCCTGCGCAAAATATTTCAACGATTCGCTTAGTTTACGTTCTATACGCGTTAGATTTTTCACGAGTTCATCCACATTATTCACTACAGTTGATTTTTTGATTTGGGAATGTAATAAGAGCACTTGTGTTTCATTTTGTAGCTTCAGCAAAGCAACTTCAAATTCATCGTATTTTCGTAAATACGATTCGAGCTCAGTTCTGTTTTCAACATAAGTTTTCAACTTATTCTTCACCAATTTGTAGCACTGATCACAGGTTTCATCTATTAATTCACATTTTTGTCTAAAATCAAATTTTATACAATTTATCAATAAACCCCATTAGAAATATTAATACTATAAAATAATTTAATTGTTTTTTTTTTCATACCCAATAAATCCTGCATTACATACGCAAGTTCCTTGTGAATCACAAGTTTTTTGTGATGATCCAATTAGGTCACAAAAACAATCATCTCCAAAAATATCTAAAATATCGTTGGTTTAATTATTGTTTTTTTTGTTAAATTGATATATAATAAAACATTTACCTGTTATTTGAAACAGAATGAGTGAAAATACAAGAGAACACTTTAAAATGTTCATTTTTATATCGTGCGACTAGAATCATTGGATTCATTTATATGAGGAGAGGAATCTAATGTTATCATTTGCTATCTTTTCATTCCTCACAATCGACATAATCTTTGTATCAACTTACCTTGAAATCAGCTGTTAGTAAATGTAACATTCTAAATACATATGATACCGCAATTTTTATTTGATTTTAAATTAAATTATATAAAAATTTAATTAGTATAAATACTGTATTTACTTAAAAAATAATTACTAAATAGGAATTTACATTAATAATTTTGCATAAATATTATATTTTGTATGCTAAGTAATAAAACATATTTATTCGTCAAATATGACATCGATAATTGTTGTCAGATCAGTATAACTGATTATCGGATTCCATGGCAACCAATAGCAGTTGGTACACCTTTTTATCTCATATCACATAGTTTTGATAAAGTATTATTTTATGAAAAATCTAATTGTTGTAATTTTTGAAATCCTTTGCAACTTTAGAAATCTACATAGATATAACCAAAAATTTAGAAAATTTTTCAAGAGAAACTAATGACAGACATTTTATTGTGTCTTTATATTTTCTGCATTGTTTAACAGAAAAAATAAATGTAGTTGGAAATATAACATATTTATATAACAAATAATATAAAAATTGTATTTATGAGAGTAACAAAATCATTGTATAAAATTTGTTAGACAACTAAAGTAATATATAAAGAAAATTATATTTTGTTTAGTATGTTTAAGTCATTTTAAATTTATGTTAGATCAAATACAATTAAAAAATATATTAATATTATTAATAAGAAAATTAATAATAAACAGGAACATAAATCTTTATTTCATAAAAAAAAATCTTTTTAATTTAAATGCGCGAAGAAAAATTACATAATTCTTACTTTTCAATTCCAGCCGTGACTATTGTTGCTTTGGTATAAAAAAAACTATGCACTAAATGTTATATACAATATTATATACACAGAGAGATTAGTTGTGTTGTGAAATGAATTACGGTTCCAGTACAAATTTCCGGAAGCATCCTTCCGGTAGAGCGGCGGCGATTTGCTCAATATTCTCCACTTCCTTCGAGAGACGTTTGATCTCCTCGTTGTAGCTTTCGACAAGTGCGTTTTGTTCCTTCTGTTCGATCTGAAGATTTCTCAATATCTCCTCCAAATTGGCATCCTTCACACGTTGCTCGGCATTCCTCAAATTCTGCTCCAACCGATTCAACTCTTCCTCATCGAAGTCGGGTAAATTATCCAATTCCTTGACGATTGCCTCCACTTCCTTCAAAATATCATGCACCTTCTTAGTTGCATCTTGCGAATCTTTTTGTGCTATTCCAACCTGAAATATAAATTTAAAGTAAATTTATAAATAATTTAGTATTTTGTTAGTGTACCTTGTCTTTGGCTAAGTTGAGTAAAGTATCGTTGCTTCCGGTCTGCTCCAGTAATCTTCTGAATTCGTTTGCAGTGTTCTCAACTCTATCCGCCATTAATTCGGCTTCCGTCTTCAGATCGGTCGCATTGTTGCTCATCACTTCCACTTCCAGTTTGACGTTTTCGGCATCCTTCGTAGCTTGAATGGCAAGATCTCTTGCGTTCTTCGCCCGATCTAACGCACTTTCGGCGTTCTCTTTGGCATCGAGCAACAACTTCTGGGCATCTCCTATAATGTCGTTCGCTTCATCGATTAGAGCGCGAATCTCAGGAATCTCCCGAAGGGATTGCTGAGCTGCTTCCTTGCTTTCCTGGACCTGTTTATCGAACTCTGAAATATAAACGATCGAGTAATTATCTAACATTCCCTCTCAAACTCTAAAGTTTTGAAACCTCTGGTCTAGAATCTCAAGACAATATAAATAAATAAACTTACCGCTTAAAGTAGCATACATAGCCTGGGCATCGTTTAAGGTGTTATCACCAAGTTTGACGGCGTTCTCAGCCTGTGATCTATACAGATCAAAGTCAGCTTTCAGATCGTTAAAACTCTCTTCCTGGTCGTTTCCTCTGTTAAGCAATTCTGTGGATATATTCAATTGCTCGTCGATTTCATCCAACATTTTCTCGTTATCAGCAAGAAGAGCTTCTGTCGCATCCAAAATAGCCCTTGCATCAACGTTAACAATATCAGAATCTTTCTTCAGTTTATCAATATCCACTTCAGGCACCACCAAATTTTGCGCATCGTTCAGCAAACTCAGGGCGCTATTCTTGATATCGCTCGACTTCTTATGCGCATCCACAGACCACTGCTTAACCCTTTCTAACTTTGCCTCAGTATTGGTAATGTCATTGTTCAAAGAGCGAATCTCTTGCGTGATATTTTTTTTCTGATCCGTCAAATTCTTTGCGAGATCGTAAGCTTCGATGGACTTGATTTTAGCCTCTCCGGACACCGATAAAATATCGGCGGCCTCGTTCTCCAAAGCATCGGAAAGTTTACGAGCTTCCAAAGAGATTTTCGTCATATTCTCAGATTGCTGACCAAATAATTTCGCGCGTTTTTGCGCTCTTTCTAGCGCAAGTTTTCCTTGTGTTGACACAGTTTCTAGCGAATTCTCAATTAATAAACTCACATCCTTGAGTATATTTTCGGTTTCCGTTATGTTCGTTTGCGCAAATCCATCTGAATTAATAATAGAACATTAATATGAATTAAGTGAAAACAGTATTAAGTAAATCGTACCTTGATGTTTGGCTAGAAGAATATTTTCGTTGATCTCTTCAAGGATTTCCGATATTTCCTCCTGCCTTTTACTGATCTCGTCTAATTTTTCTTCAAGCGTTTTATCGTCTGTTCCCAAACCAGCTTTAGCTCTATTGTTTAAATCCAAAACTTCATCTTGGATTTTCTGCAACTTCTTTTCAAAGCTACGATCATCGATTACGGTAGGATTCCTTTCGATCTCATCCAAAATGCTGCGCAATTGATGGATCTTCATCAAGTGACGACGCGAAGCATCACGCACCAAGTTGTAACAATCGGGACAATCGACGCAACCTCTCTGACGATCGTATTTGTTTTCTTTGCAACGATCGCACTTCCTGCCTTCGACATTCTCCAGGCACGGACATTGCCCATGCGAATCACACTGCATGTCTTGAGAACCGATACCATCGCATTCGCAATCTCTACATCCTTCCGCCGAAAATCCATATTTGTTAGTCTCGCATTGATCGCAACGTAAACTGAAAATATTAAATTGAAATATTTGAAGAGGAATAAACGTAACAAACAAACCCTGTAATTCCTGGACGACAAAAACATTGTCCACTGTAAATATTACAAGTGTGATTGAAAGAACCAACAGAATCACAATTACAGGATGAGCAACCTTCTCCAGTCACAATATTGTAATAACCGTCTTCGCACAAATCGCAATTCTTTCCGTGCACGTGCGGCTTGCAATTGCAGGATCCTGTGAATTGATCGCACATCAAATTACCATCTCTTCCTTCGAATGTACCATGAGGCATGCATCTGCAAGGTTGGCAATCCCCTTTTGGTAAAGACAATGCGTCTCCATAGAATCCTGAAACCCTAACATTACATAACAAAATCCAAGCAATTATCTCAACAAATAAACTAATCACCTGACAAACATCTATCGCATTTGTAGCCTTCGGTATTATGAATACATTTCAAACACTCTCCAGTCGTAGTATTGCAGTTTCCAATCGCATTTGGATCTATGTTTAAGTTGCAGTCGCATTGCTGACAAGGTGTTCTTTGTCCGAATCTGCCGCTCGGATCTCCAAAGTATCCGTCGGAGCAGGAATCGCATCTGTGTCCGGTGTATCCTACTGGACATTCGACGCAAACGGTGTCTTCGTCGAGTTGAATGCAAGCTCCGCCGTTTGGACAACCGCACGAAAGACAATCCGAATTGGTTCCGCTCAACGCGTTTCCGTAATAACCTCTGGCGCATCGCTCGCAATTATCACCAGCAGTGTGATGCTGGCAGATGCATCTTCCGGTTTCCGAATCGCAAATCTCTGCGTGTTTGTTGCAATCGCAAGGAATGCACGGCATGAATGGTCCTCCGAGCGATGGAGAATGTCTGTATCCAGGGGCGCAGGATTCGCAGTATTGTCCCACATAGCCTGCAAAAGATCACAAAAAATTAATTTTCTTGTTTCAGTATTCATTAAATAATATATAATAGCTGAGAATTTGCTCATTTTAAACATTACAAAGAGTGAGACAAGAGTAAAGAGTTAGAAATTATAAACTACCTTGTGGACATCTGCACTGTTCGACCCAATGTGCTGATCTTCCTGCCACTCCCCTTGAAGCCGTTTCCAATTTAACGTGAGCCAAGAAACCTACGCCTCCCGGAGAGTAAGTACCTCTAATTTTAATTGCAGTTAACTGAGTAAGTATGGACATAAAAGCTCTTGCAGATAGCCTCGGTGACCATCCGTAAATATGGCTTTCGTGTAACCTGAACGTGTATTCGTAATTCTGAAATTACATAATTAAATCAATTATATTTATGTAAATGGTAATGAAAGAAGTAATTGAAATAGAAATGTTAATTACTTGTAGTGATGGAACTGCATTTCCTTGAGCGAAAATGTGATTGGTGATGTAAGTTCCAGCGCCTTCAAGTATAATATCGGTGGGCGTCGGAATCGCTCGATTCTCACCTATCCTCAGTGTAAAAGTGAGCAGTTGATTGTACGAAGCCCTTTGATCCCCAAGGTATCTGTCAGGAGCCAAGAAGTACACAGCCTCACTCCCTAGAGACGTGGCTCCAATCGACTGAGTCAACCCGTTGTACTGCAAAGCAATGCTTCGATTGTTAGAGTCCACACCCTTCCAGCGCTCGTTGCTCTTGGTAAAAGCAGACACCAATTGGTATTTAGAATAACTCGGAGCAGAAACACACTCGGAGGAGTGTCCGTAACAGAAGCATGGTGTACACCCGAAATCATTCTCCGAATCCAGATTAAAGAAACCCGGTTTACATTCTTTGCACCTTTTACCCTCGACGTTCTCCTTGCAGGAGCAAATTCCAGTGTACGGATCACAGCTCGGCTGGTTATTTGAAGATCCTTCGATACTGCAGCCGCATGATTTGCATCCGTTCGGCCCGAATTGGTAATGATTGGCATCGCAGCGATCGCATTTCGCTCCAGTCACACCCGGTTTACACTGACATTTTCCTTCGGAACTACATTGCAAACTCCTCGATCCGACCGGATCGCAATTACAAGCAATGCAACTTTGATCCTCCCTTTGGTAATAGTTTTCCTTGCAACGTTCGCAATTCGGACCATCTCGATTAGCAAGACAATCCAAACAATGTCCGCCGTGTCCTGTCCTTTGATACAACTCCTTATCGAAGAAACACCTTTGCGAAAACCCGTTGCAATTACAAGCTACAAAATAAATTTTATTAATCATCCAATATCAAATTAATTATTTTTTTCCAATTATTACGTTTGCATTCATTCGCGTTCCTTTCAGAAGCTCTACCCCATGGAGCGTCGTTGAAGAACGGAAGACACACTTCACAATCCGGACCTGCCGTGTTGTGCTCGCACTTGCAAACCCTGTTTTGTGATCCATCTAGATCCGAAGAGTAAATGCATTCGGAGGAGTGACCGTTGCATTTGCATCGAGCTCCAACCGAGACTTCAACGATTGAATAGTAGTAAGATCGAAGAACAGAAGTATCAGAGAAAAGCTCATCACCGAAAGTGTTCAATCGGTTTAAAGTAATGCGAATATCAGTAGCTGTTACCCATTCCTACAATCAATTTCTCTTTATTTTAACTTCCAAACTAAATTCATATAAAAAAAGCATACCTGTAATTCAGGGCTGGAATCGAAGTTGTAAGCGGAAGGCCTAAACTCCAAAGTGGCAAAAGCAATGTTTCCATCTTTCAAAGGTGAAATATCCGAGTATTCCGAAGTGCACAAAGCCCTGGTTTCATCCCCGCGCGAAATCTTATTGGAATCAGGTAAACTATAAGTATCTCGGCAAGTGGCGCTGCAAACAAAATTAATTAACGAAATATCAAACTGTTTATTTATTTTACAAATTAATTACCTGTAATATTGGTATGGAATCCAAGGACAATCCTCGCAACTTCTTTTGTAAATGGCGAAACTCTCGGGCCTTGGGGAATGGAACCAAAGTCGAACGTATGTTATATCGAACGATTTCCCTGAAACACAGGACGTTCAATATCAGGAACTGTGTACACTTTGAAAGCTTCGCTTCCTACGCAAATATGCGCTCTTCTAAACTGTAATCTTCATAATTCAATAGAAATGATTTATGTTTCCTATGGCTCAAAATAATTGCATATGCAACGTCCCAGTGAATACAATTTAAATCGTGATGTTCGTATTATCCTTTCGTGGGTTGACTTTAAAAGCAATTCCAAAACGATTTATATAATCTCTATGTTTATATATTTAAAATATTATATGTACATTTTTAGCAATTCCAGCAAGTAAACTAATACATTTACTTTGATTATTTAACGTTTGAAATCTGAACAATAATTAATATAAACTAATTCACTTTACTTTTAACTTTCTTACTTAAGTGCTATAAATGTATATTCTCTTTGATTCACGAATCTAACTAAAAAATATATAATTGTAATTACAGAATAGAAGTATTACTATCTTTATATAATAATTAGATTTATATCATCTAAGTTGTAAGTACATTAATAGGAATTATAGTTATTTGATTTGTAAAATATTTTTATAACCTTGAGAATATTATTTTTACGCAGATTTAATTAGATTCTAACTGAAATAAAGAATTTTAAATGAAAAATACGAGTTATACTTTTTTTTACAGTTTCACAGATGTTAACACGCATTGCTTGTGAAATCTAATTAAAATACAGAATTCTAAATAAAAATTTATTGATACAAAATCTGAGGTAAGTAAATTTACTTTATGAAAAATTTAAATTTACTGATTTACTTTAAAACCAAATAAATGTATGAAAACTCAGTGGATTTTCGAATCTTGTGAATATCAAATAAATAAACATTCATAATTTGTTAAATTTGATTGAAATAAAGAAGTTTTAATGACCAACAAAAGTTTTACTGATTTTCTATTTATTTAAATACTTTAATATTATTACTCTTTGACACATTTAATCAAAAGTTAAATTAATTTAATTTGAATCACGAAATCTAAGAGTTGTCTACTACACGTATAGATATAATAATTAATTCGAGACAAATATTTAGGTCGTATAAATTTGATTTTTTTTGTAAAATTTTATAAAAATTTCCATAAAAAATGTAATCTGAATGCAATTGGAAACAGTGTCAACTGTAATTGTTTTAATGCAATTTCTTAACGTTAAGATAATGCGCAATCTGTATTTGCGGTGCAAACAATGGGGATGTGCAAACATCCTTCGGAGAGGAGAAATCATCCGAGGAAGTTTCAAACATTCGTACTCTGCATACTCACGCAAATGTAAAGTCAAGTTGACTTCGTTCGGATATTGGATGCCATCCTCCATGGTTTCAGATTGCCACCAGGTGGGTGTATCCTCGCTGTCGGTGAGGAATTCTGCAGAATGTTGTCCTCTTGTGCAGACATCGCACGAGGACATCGACGTTCCCGTTTGTATGCAATAAGGAGTCGGTCCATTCTCGCCGCACGTGTTCGTAGCTTCTATAAGATTGTTGAAGGCAGGATTCTCGAAGGCAGGAATGCATCTCTGTAATAATAATTAAATCGATAATAATATTTAGATTTGTATTCTTCAATGGATTCGCAAATATTCCGAACTAATACAAAACAATACTAATACATACAAAAATAAATCGCACAAACAGATACTTAATTGTATATAAGGAAAAAATAATCGTTTATGTACGAAAATTAATGTTTTATAGCAATTTTTAATTTTCTTCAATTAAAATTTAGTTTATTTTGATATTTTTCAAACCGGACTATTGTGAGAATCCGGACTGATCCAAGCCGCACTATGCAAGGTATTGACGTACATTAAACCAACATTAACATTTAGTCTTGTCTTCTATATGGATTATTGAAATCACATTCTTAACATAATTTACTTCTTGGATTTTTGTAATTAAAATTGTAACAATTAGTGAGACAATTATTAAATTGATTGGATTTGATATTAGTTTATTTTGATATTTTTAAAGCGGATTATTGTAAGATTCCGGATTGATTGAATCCGCACTCTGCAAGGTATTGATGTACATTAAACTAACACTAATAATTAGTCTTGTTATGTATTTGGATGATTGCAATCACATTCTTAACATAATTTACTTCTTGGATTTTTATTATAAAAATGGTAACAATTAGTGAGACAATTATTAAATTGATTGGATTTGATATTAGTTTATTATGATATTTTCAAACCAGATTATTGTGAAAATCCGGACTTATCCAAGCCGCACTATGCGAGGTAATGATGTACATTAAACCTACACTAATAATGTGTCTTGTCTTGTATTTGGATTATTGCAATCACATTCTTAACATAATTTACTTCTTGGATTTTTGTAACTAAAATTGTAACAATTAATGAGAAAATTAATAAATTTCTTGGATTTGTTATTAAAGATATTTGAAATACAGATCTATATATTGAATAAGTATAAACTGCAATCTTTAGATTGTATGGCGAGTGCAGCAAAGGACTCGAGGTCGTCAACCCCTCGTATGGTCTGCACGTGTGTACTTCTGAATTATTGTTTTACATTACCTGTACATAATTACTCGAGGAATTTAACTTCTCTTCGAACCATTTCCATTCTCAAAATCAATAAATGACATCGACTTGCACAATGACAGATAAAACGTTTGAGTTGAGTGAAAGTGTAGTTACGTTATCAGTTAACTGCGATCCAAATTCTGGTTATTATTTAAACATCTTTTTTTAAATTCTGGAATCTAAACGCTTATACAAAACATCTAACTTGTGTGGATTGATGAGAAACATTCAATTCCGTCTATTTTTACAGGTACGTAGATTGCGTTCGAAAGATTCTTTAACGTTGTCCGTTAATTAATATTAATTTTGCAAGGAATTGTGGAGGAAATCATAGATTTTTTTGTTGTGCGTGGACAGGTTTGCTTCTGTCGCTGAAAATGGAATAGACTGGTATAAAAATAGTCGCAAAGAGTCGACTGAGACTGAGAGGCAACAAAGCCAGTTAGTTATATTGTGAATTAGACTTTAGTTCTATTCATTTAAAAAAATAATTAGGTAATGTTTTAAATAAAAAAAAGTTCATTAATGAAACAAAATATTTATTTTTATGCCAAATAATTTACATTGATATAGTAAATCACAAAGTAACTGTAATACTTATAGGGTTTTAATAATTGATTTAGAGTTTTAATTAAAAATAAACTATTTGCAAATGACATATTTCTTAATAGTTGTTAAATGTTTGCTGAATAATAATACAATTAACAGAATTTGTCGAAAGAGAGACGAACAGAAAATATTAGGACTAATTGTTTTACGTAACTATGTAATTAATAATTTTTCAAAATAACTTGAGAAAAAGTTAATAATTAAATTCTTACTATGACTAAACAACTTGATTCAATACATTATAAACATATATTTCCATAATATCGTTTTGTATTTGTATTTTCTAAAGTACTATTTCTATATTATCTTCATTTAAATGTAATTATTCGAAATCGAAATTAATTTCACTCTATTAACTTTACTTAATACTAGTATAACCCATAATAAAAGTACTGAATTTGACTCTTTGCATATAAATCTTCATTTCTTTTACAATTTAGAAACTTTAGTAAAAAAAATCATTTCTACTATATTAAGTATATAATATATTTCACTTTATTTATTATTTCTAAATCTAATTATTCGAAATAACAATTAATTTCAGTTTATTGACTTTTCAACTTAATTAACTAAGGATAACCGTAAAATTAAAAAAAGTAAATTTTTACTGTTTAGAAACTTATGCGGAATTTCAAGCAATTCCTCGTAAGCTATTTCAATATTTATGTTAAACATATTAACAAGTAATTCAAATGTTTTATTATGTAGTGTAAATATATTTAATTGTAATTAATTCGGTAAACTTTATTTATTAAAGTTAATTGGAAAGCTGAAATATTAGTAAATAATACAATTTGATTTTCATAAATAAAAATTGATGTTTAAAAAAAAATCTAATTTGATATAATTTTGATAGTTTTATCCATTATTTGCTTTGTTTTAAAATTACAATTATTGTATGTAGTTTAAAAATATATATTTACGTATTATTTTAAGTGATCTTAGGGCATCGAACTGATGTAAATGTGTTTGAAAGTATTGAAAACATGAATAATGTTATGATTCAGACACATGTTGTAGGTTTCTTGTGCGTTACTTACGCTCTGGTGCAATGACTAAGAGTTTCGGTAATTTGAAATATACTATAAAAGGGAAATGTTTGTGGGTCATCGCATTGCAATTATGTATAGCTGCTGTAGAGATTAGTTTGCTTGCAGCGGTAGCAAACAATGGTAATGGTATTTTACAAAAAAAAAGATTGGCGCACTTTAGGCGTGGGATGGTATTAATAGCACTGCGGAGAGAGAGAAATGCTATTTTGAATTATCCAAAACAAACCTGAGGCCTATTGAAGCTGTCGTAGCAGCGGGTGCCGTTCTGGCCGAGGACGGGCGTGCTCCTAATTTCGTGGGCTCCGATCCATCGGCTGTGAAGTGCACAGGACACCAGAAGGATGCCCAACCGGAACATCAGCATCTTCAAACAGTTCACGCGCAACTAAAACCGAACTCAGAATTGGATGTTGTGATGTAACGACGCGCACTTGACTGTTGTGATGGTCCACACGCTGCCCAGATCCAGGCACACGGACGAATGCTGCTCGATGCTGCTCTCCAGATGCCCCGATGCCTCCTTGATAACTTTGCCCTCCGCGCTCTCGAAGGAGGGAGTTCCAGTTTTTTTTTTGTCAGTTGATATTTTCTTCTTCCTTCGTGACAATTGTTGATACATTGCAATCGTCTCGTAATATGCGTTTCGGACACTCTGACCTTTTTTTTCGTAGTAATAACATTTGTTGTATAATATCTATTACAAATGATTAGAATAAAAAAAACTATGAAGCACATTCAACACATTAACATATTATCATAACAGTTTGATATTTATTTCGCATACTGATTGTTTCATAAGTACAGTACATTCAGTTAAATGTCTTAGTTTCATCTCTGATTTTATTTTTATTCTGTTCCAAAAAATAGTATGTAAGTCGATTCGAATTAATGTACAGTAATACCTCGCATAGTGCGGATTCCACAAATATCCTAAAAATAATTGTGTATACTATTTGTTTCGTATTAAAATTTAGTTTGATTTGAAATTTTTAAGCCGGACTGATGGAAGCCGAAGACAAAGCAAGATATATCTTTGGTGAAATTCTCTAAAAAATTTTAATTTTATATCTGATCTTCTATTATTCTGTTGCAAAAGTAATAATCATTAATATTTAAGAAAAAATAATATCTATATTTCTGAGGAATTCTAAGCAATAAATCATGACATTCTTAAAATTTCACTAAAATTCAATAATACTCAGCTAATTGTAGGTAATTTAATATTATAATATTTGTTTTACTTAAGTAAAGTTAATTACTTAATTTATGTTAGCATTTTTATATTTAATATACAAGCATTGTCTTAAAGTTTCCTTACTTTTAACTTAATACAAAATTTTGCAAAATGTAAATGTCCATATGTAATTAGTATTTCATAAAAGTTTCATAGTTTTTTAATAAATCTAATAAATTATAAAGAAACTCCTTTTTCAATACTTAAGACATATTTCTTTTCATTTAGTCATTGTAATCAAAATCCACAAACATTATATGATTATTTATATAACATTATTAGTTATAGTTTCCTTATAAGATATACTTTAAATAGATTTCAGGAAATATAATAAAAATTTTGAAAGCGCAGATGGAACATTTGTTTTTAATTTGTTTAATCCCACAAAATTCATGAATGTCTTTGTTATTATATTACTAAAACCAGTATAATTAATTTTTAGCTCAATTTTTTTAAATTTGATATATAATTGATATGTAATATGTACTTTATTTAAATCCAACAACATATAATGAACAAATGGTTCACTTTTTATTCTAATTAAAATATTGAATGAATTTCTCGTCATTTTCAAGATATGTTCTTGTATTTGTACAGTATTTATTGCAATAATTAATATGGATTTAGGTCTAATTTGACAATAAAAATCCTGAGTCAAAATCAATGATTTAGCACATATATGAATCAATAAAAATGTCATTCATCAATTTTATTTAAATTTCGATAATACCTACCTAAAGCACAGCTTTGATCAATCAAACTAAAATATAATCCTCTCATATTTTACAATTAAATAATTACTCGTAACATCACTCGTAAATTTAATATCATATTCATATATAGTCTAAAAACTACAATAATATAAAAAATGCTGCTTTTTAAGGTGTAATATTGCATAAAGTAATATTTACTTAAGTTCTGACTTTAAATTTGATTTAAATAATATTTTAATAGAGAATCTAACTTGTCAGATTGTTTAACAAATGTAATATAAAGCAGTTAGAATATGCATTAGAACAATGAATCTTCAAGAATAAACTAATGGTCACACGTAGGCGAGTGATAATACAAATATAAATGTTTCCTTTGCGCCATTTCCGTTCACAAAACGAAACACGAAACAAAAAAAATATCCTCCATATCTAGGTTGATTTTTATTTCATCTAAATTTCATTATTATTATTATTTTATGTAATCTTCTCGCATTCGGAACATCACGAAATCCGTGTATTGAATTCGGACATTCGCTGTAACGTATAAATAAATATAGTTCAACGACATTTTTGATAGCGCGGGTCAAATGATTAGTGATATTTGCTACGAAAAAAAAAGTGTCTTTCAATTTTTGCACATTGTAGTATCGCGTATTGGTACTTAGATGGTCGTTTTTGTTTTTGGTAGAATTCGCATCTTCTGGAGCGCCGAAAATTGCGGTGCTCTTCTTTGCTAGTCGATAGTGGAGGTCAGAAAATAATAAGGCCAAAAGCAGTATGTAACATGTTCCACTTATCGTGCGGAGTTGTGATTAGAAAAGTTTAAATTCGAGGAATTTACGATTTTCTATTTGTTGAATCATTCATATGTATATATTTACATTGAAACGATTAGAAAATGAAACCAGCTCTATACTTGGCATTTTGATAACAACATTTAATATATTTCTTTGTAATTCAAGCTGATATACCACAAGGAAGTGTATTCGTACCTACATTTTGATCTCACATTGACGCCTTCAGTCACAAACTTTAGAGACTTACAACATATAGAATTTTGACTCAATAAAGGAGCAAATTTTTCTTAAAGTTGGTTCTCACATAGACGTCTTCAGTCAGATATTCTGCAGACTTAAAACAGTAGAATTTTGACTTAATGAATGAAAAATGTAAGTCAACAAAACCAAACAGATCTAGAGGAAAACTGTCTTAAAGTATTTGAAATGATTACAGACTTCTAGAATTGCATCTTTATAGACGAAAAAAACCATCTGCATATTCATAAATTCAATTATAACTTAAAATTAGAATTGTAAATTAACTCACAAAAAAAATCTTCTTAAATAATGAATAATTTAGTTATTTGGAATGTCGATTGGAATTTTTGTGAAAATCTAATAAATTTGGTTATATTTTTTCATTACGAAAAGAATAATAGTATAGATTAATTAGATATAAGAAAATTAATCTGCTTATAGTTGATATTTCTTATGTAAATTTGTTATGTAATTTACACATTTCCATGTTACTTTTAATAGCAGGATGAATGAATGACAGAGATATAAAATCTATAAGCAAGTAACGAGTTTAAACAATTTATCTCGTTTCCGCTACAACATTTCCGCATAGGCGAAGATAAATCCGCTGAAACGAATTTCAACACTATTGAAATGATAGAATTATCATCAATTGGCGTGTCGTGTAAAATTCATTTACACACACTGATCTCAATACAAAGTTTCCAAAAATCTCTCGTACAATTAAAATTAGTATTATTTTGATAATAAAACAATTTTTCATTACCACAAGTTGTTGGACATAAAGCCAAATATGTTAAAATTAACTAATTAACTCGTTAATAAGTGATGAAAATATAATTTAAATCAATAATTTGTAAACTAAACTATTGTAAATATACAGATTTTGATGATGTATATGTTGAGCACATGTTGAAATTCTTAACACTTGAAGTTGTAAACAGTAAAACTTGAATGTAGATAGGTCAGTTCACAATATAATTGAGATGGTTTTGTAAACTTATTTATGTAAAGTTATTTTGGTATTACATAATATATTGATTATCAAAATTAAAATTTTAATAAAATTATCAAATTAATTTCTTCTAAAATGTACTTTTTGTTATTGAAGCATTAATTTGTTTCTTTGTAAGGTAAAATTGATAGTAAAAGACTAAAATTATTGTAAAAAATATAAAAAAAAAGTTATTTATTTCTAAGATAAATTGTTCATGAATTGCGCATTGATGATGTGTATAAAAATGTGATCGATATTCAGCTGTGTGACTATTGTTTGCTTTGGTATACAAAAAAAAAATATTACTCTACGTGCTAACATTATTTACAGATGCTATTTACAGTCTTTTATATATATACACACACAGAAAATGAATTGCATTTATTTACGGTTCCAAGACGAACTTCCTGAAGCATCCGTCCGGAAGAGCTGAAGCGATTTGCTGAATATTCTCCACCTCCTTCGTCAGCCGATCGATTTCGTTGCTGTAATTCTCCACCAGCGCGTTTTGCTCCTTCTGCTCCAACTGTAAAGTCTTGAGGATCTCCTCCAAATTAGCCTCCTTGACGCGCTGCTCCGCCTTCTTCAGCTCCTGCTCCAAACGATTCAACTCGTCCTCGTCGAATTCTGGTAAGTTATCTAATTCTTTGACGATGGCATCCACGTCTTTAAGTATATCATGCACTTTCTTCGTAGCTTCCTGAGAATCCTTTTGAGCTCGTCCCACCTAAAAAATTACAAATATGAAATATAATAAAAAAAAAACATTCATTAAACATTCAAATAATTGATATACCTTTTCTTTAGCTTCATTTAAGAGTGTACCATTATTTTCCATCTGATCCATCAATCTATTATACTCGATTTCAGTGTTCTCCACTCGATCAGCCATCAATTCCGCTTCAGATTGTAGATTTGTAGCGTTATTACTCAGCAATTCCGCTTCATTCTTAACATTTTCTGCATCTTTAGTAGCCTGTATAGCTAAATCCCTTGCGTTTTTAGCCCTATCGAGAGCGTTTTCTGCGTTCTCTGTAGCTCCCAACAAAGATTTTTGAGCTTCAAATATTTTGAAATTGGCATCGTGGATAAGTTGACGAATCTCCGGTAATTCATCCAGCGATTGTTGCGCAGCTTCTTTACTCTCCTGCACTTGCTTATCGAACTCTAAAATTTCAGTTAATTACACTTTGTTCTTTAGTTATTTAAAAATTTTTACATACCACTTAAGGTCGTGTACATGGCTTGAGCATCCCTCAAAGTGTTATCACCCAATTGCACCGCATTTTCCGCTTGAGACCTATACAAATCGAAATCAGCTTTCAAATCTGTCAAAATATCTTCCTGATCGTATCCTTTGTTGAGTAAGTCATTGGATAACATAACTTGCTCTTCGATTTCGGACAGCAATTTTTCGTTGTCCTTCAACAGCGCTTCCGTTGCATCCAAGATATTCTTAGCTTCCACTTTAACAGTTTCTGAAGACTTCTTTAAATTGTTAATATCCACGTCTGGTACAACGAGATTCTGCGCGTCGTTGAGTAAACTTAAAGCGCGATTCTTCATATCGCTCGAAGTTTTGTGAGCATCCACCGTCCATATCTTAACTCGCTCAAGTTTAGTCTCAGTGCTTAATATATCGTTGTTCAATGCGCGTATCTCTTGCGTTATGCTTTTCTTTTGATCCGTTACGTTCTTGGCCAAATCGTAAGCCTCGGTGGACTTTATTTTAGCTTCGGAAGCTACTGATATTATGTCATCGGCTTCGTTTTCCAAATCCTCGGAAACCACTCGTGCCTCATGAGCTATATTAGTCATATTGTCAGATTGTTGACCAAATAATTTGGCACGTTCTTTGGCGCTTTCCAAGGCCAATTTGCCCTCTGCTTCTACAGCCTCCAATGCATCTTCTATTATTAAAGTAATATCTTTCAGGATGTTTTCCGTTTCCGTTAAATTACTTTGCACGATTTCGTCTAAAAATTGATGTTTAAATTAATGTATTGATTAATAAATATTTGATGAAAACTAAACCTTTTTGTTTTGCCAAAGCAATGTTTTCATCGATGTCCATGAGTATTTCGCCAATCTCTTCTTGCCTTTGAGAAATATCATCCAATTTATCCATGAGCGTTTTATCGTCCGTTCCTAAACCAGACTTGGCTTGATCGGTTATGATCATGACCTCATCTTGGATCTCCTGTAATTGCTCTTCGAAAGTATCATCGTCGATTACGGTGGGATTCCTTTCGATCTCATCCAAAATGCTGCGCAACTGATGGATTTTGCTCAAGTGACGACGCGAAGCATCTTGCACCAAGTTGTAACAATCCGGGCAATCGACGCACCCTCTTTGACGATCGTATTTGTTTTCTTTACAGCGATCACACTTCCTGCCTTCAACATTCTCGAGACACGGGCATTGCCCGGAGGAGTCGCACTGCATGTCTTGAGAACCGATACCATCGCAGTCGCAGTTTTTGCAACCTTCCATCGAGAATCCATACTTGAATGACTCGCATTGATCGCACCGCAGACTGTAATGTTATTGTAAGTATTTAATTGATTCGATTGATTATTTATGTATATTTACCCTGTGATTCCTGGTCTGCAGAAGCATTGACCCGTGTAAATATTGCAGGTATGATTGAAGGACCCGGTCGGATCGCAGTTGCACGTAGTGCAACCGTCTCCTGTTATTATATTGTAATAACCTTCTTCGCACAAATCGCAATTCCTTCCTTGTACGTGAGCCTTGCAAGTGCACGTCCCGGTGATCTGATCGCACATGAGGGACTCATCGTCTCCTTCCACGGTGCCGTGCGGCATACACTCGCACGGTTGACAATCGCCTTTCGGCAAAGACAAAGCGTCTCCGTAGAATCCTGAAACCCGTAATTGATATAAAAAACAATTCGCTATTAACAAGAAAAAAAACTCACCTGACAAGCATTTATCGCATTTCGTGCCTCCGGTATTATGAATACACTTCAAGCACTCTCCAGTTAAGGTGTTGCAGTTTCCTATCGCGTTCGGATCTATGTTTAAGTTGCAGTCGCATTGCTGACACGGTGTTTGAGGTCCGAAACGGCCGTTCGGATCTCCAAAGAATCCATCCGAGCAGGAATCGCATCTGTGTCCGGTGTATCCGGTGGGACATTCGACGCAGACGGTGTCTTCGTCGAGTTGAATGCAAGCTCCGCCGTTTGGACAACCGCACGGAAGACAATCCGATTCGGTTCCGCTCAGAGCGTTTCCATAATATCCTCTGGCGCATCTCTCGCAATTATCACCAGCGGTGTGATGCTGACAGATGCATCTTCCCGTTTCTGAGTCGCAAATATCCGCGTGTTTGTTGCAATCGCAGGGAATGCACGGCATGAATGGTCCTCCGAGTGATGGGGAATGTCTGTATCCAGGGGCGCAAGATTCACAGTATTGACCCACATATCCTGCAATAAATCAAAAAGATTAAGTACATTAAGCATCAATTAAGCTACAATAAATTAAGTAAGCACCAATTTTTTTCAATTAGATTTCAATAAGAAGTATCACTATTTAATTAATTATTAGTTATGAATAACAAAGAGATGAATAAAACTGTATGCTTCAATGAAATAAAAGAAATACCTTGTGGGCATCTGCACTGTTCGACCCAATGAGCTGACCTTCCTGCAACTCCTCTGGAAGCAGTTTCTAATTTGGCGTAATCAAGATAACCCACGCCACCCGGTGAATACGTGGCTCTAATCTTAATAGCTGTTAACTGCGTGAGTATAGACATGAAACCCCTTGCCGATAATCTTGGAGACCATCCGTAAATTTGGTTTTCGTGTAATCTGAACGAGTATTCCGCATTCTAAAAGATAAAAAACACTAGTTGTTATTTGATTCTTAATTTGTTAAATTTATACGTACTTGCACCGAAGGCACGGAATTTCCTTGAGCGAAAATGTGACTGGTGATGTAAGTACCGGCACCTTCTAGTATAACATCCGTTGGCGTCGGAATAGCTCGATTCTCACCAATTCTCAAAGTAAATTTCAGCAGTTGATTATACGAGGCTCTTTGATCCCCCAGATATCTGTCCGGAGCCACGAAATAGATAGCTTCATTATCTTGAGCTGTGACTCCGATGCATTGAGTCATCCCGTTGTACTTCAACTCAACGCTTCTATTGAAGGAATCCACCGCCTTCCAACGTTCGCTGCTCTTCGTAAACGCAGATTCCAATTGGTATTTAGAGTATCCTGGCGCAGAAATACACTCGGAGGAGTGTCCGTAGCAGAAGCAAGGAGTACACCCAAAATCGTTCTCCAAATCGTGATTGAAGAAACCCGGTTTACATTCCTTGCATCGTTTACCTTCAACGTTCTCCTTGCAAATACAAATTCCAGTATACGGATCGCAGCTCGGCTGATTATTGAAAGAACCTTCCACGCTGCAACCGCAATTCTGACATCCCATAGGTCCAAAATTGTAATGATTTGCTTCGCATCGATCGCATTTTTCTCCCGTAACACCCGGTTTACACTGGCATTTGCCTTCAGAATTGCATTGAAGAATCCTTGATCCAACAGGATCGCAGTTACAAGCAATGCAAGTCTGATCTTCGTGCTGGTAAAAGTTCGGTTTGCAGCGTTCGCAATTCGGTCCATCGCGATTCACCGTGCAATCGGAGCAATGTCCACCGTGTCCAGTTTTTTGATACAAATCCCGATCGAAGAAACATCTTTGAGAAAAACCGTTGCAGTTGCAAGCTACAAATAAATTAATTAACGCAAATTCAGATTAGTTTTTTTTGTGTTGTGATTATTACGTTTGCATTCGTTCACGTTCCTTTCCGAAGCTCTACCCCATGGAGCATCGTTGAAGAACGGAAGACACACTTCGCAGTCCGGACCTGCCGTGTTGTGCTCACACTTGCAAACCCTGTTTTGTGATCCATCCAGATCCGAAGAGTAAATGCATTCAGAAGCGTGACCGTTGCATTTGCATCGAGCTCCAACTGAGACCTCAACGATTGAATAGTAGTAAGAACGAAGGACTGAAGTATCGGCGAAAAGCTCATCTCCGAAAGTGTTCAATCGGTTTAAAGTAATGCGAATATCAGTAGCTGTTACCCATTCCTATTTTAAAAAAATATGTTAATAAATTATTACTTGAAAAAACATTTTTTAATTACTTGTAGATCGGGGCTTGAATCGAAGTTGTAAGCTGAAGGCCGAAACTCCAAAGTAGCGAAAGCAATATTTCCATCCTTCAAAGGAGAAATATCCGAGTATTCCGAAGTGCATAAAGCCCTTGTCTCTTCTCCACGCGAAATCTTATTGGAATCTGGTAAACTATAGGTATCTCGACAAGTTGCACTGTAAATAAAATTAATTATATAAAAACCATCAAATACATTTGTTTCCAAATTTATTACCTGTAATATTGGTAAGGAACCCAAGGACAATTCTCGCAAGTTCTTTTGTAGATGGCGAAGCTCTCAGGTCTCGGGGAATGAAACCAGATGCGGACGTAGGTAATATCAAACGATTTCCCTGGAATACAGAACGATTAGCACCGAAATAAAACAACAAATAAACGAGAACCGTTTATGATTAACTCGAAGTGATTTACACATCCTGTTGCTCAGTTATTTTTTTTTATATATATAAATAATTGCATCTATTACGTTGGAAGAGCAATTCTATAAGCAGTTTTCCGTGCATTAAATAATCCGCATTTACATTTAGGAACAATGGAGCGTTCGCAGCGAAAGGAGACCGTTTAAGGAAGGCATCAAATGCGCCGCGGAAATTCTCATGCATGTTAGCGTCAAAGCGTATAATTCAATATTTTATGTTTTATAGAAACCTTAAACTANNNNCTAATCGGCGTGTCGGATTATCGAGATATATAAAACGTGAAAAATAAATCAAATTATCGTCAATTTATCCTTATTAATTAATATTACGATGATGTTAATGTATCATAATTAGCGCCATAAAATGATGTAATCATAATATTATTCTTTTAAATTCAAGAAACGAATAATGTGAAATTAATGTTGTTTCAACAAAAAAATATGCTTAGTACAAGAAAATACAAAATATAATATTTCTTGAAGTGGGTTCTTTGAAAAGGCCACTTTTTTAACTTTAATATGCATATTGGGTGATTTAATTATCATGCGTTTTTATTGAATAATTACATAAGATGTGAAGACGTGAAAAATAAAATCAAAAATCGTCATATTTCGATCATTAAATATTAAGTATTGTTTTGTAATAATATTTCAAGATATCAAAAAATTTCTATTATAAAATGTATGTAATTATTGATTATGTACAAAGTTTTCCAGTTATTCTTGTATATGGAGAACACATTTGAGAAATCTTGAAAAATTGAAAATAATTGGTAATGTCTATAGCTTAAATTGAAAGCTTAATACGGGAAATCAGAAAGTACCAAAAGCTCATTTGAAAGGCCACAGTTTTATCTTTTATATGCGTATTTGGTGATCTAGTTAGCATGAGTTGTTATCAAGTAATTAAATAAAATGTGAAGAAGTAAGAAAAATGTTCTGTCTTAACAAAAATATCAATAATTTGTAAGTTCTCATAATACATATATTATGAGTACTTACAAATAATTTTAAAAGATTTTAAAGTGTTAAGAGTTTTTTTACAAAATTGTATAAAAAATTGATCAACTTTGAAAAATTGTATAAATATTCAATAGATAGATAATAGATTTATAAAATGTGTAGGTATTTTATAAAATTATTTTCACAATAATTGCACATATTACCTAGGCATTCTGTAGAATACCGCTAACATATATTTTTTAAATTAATGACTCATCGGATGAACCTGTATTTCGGTTTCCTTTCTTGTCGTCCTTCTGGTTTCGTTTCTTGGAACTGCATGTTTTCGTTTCTTTCACAGAGGAACTACTTACTCAGGTGCAAAGTCAAATTAACTTCGTTTGGGTATTGAATACCATCCTCCATGGTTTCGGATTGCCACCAGGTGGGAGTATCCTCGCTGTCCGTAAGGAATTCTGCAGAATGCTGCCCTTTGTTGCAGACCCCGCACGAAGCCATTGACGTCCCCGTTTGTATGCAGTAAGGAGTAGGTCCATATTCACCACAGGTATTCGTCGCTTCAATCAAATTGTTGAAGGCCGGATTCTCGAAGGCAGGAATGCATCTCTGAAATCGTACAAATAAAAGAGGAAATAATTTCCTTGTCGCATTCTCATTCAATTCTTGTTTGTTTATTTATTTATTTATCGGACGAGACAAATAATGATACTACTTTTTTTTTAAAACGAAGTATGAACGAACTTGGGAAGTTCGGATTGTGAAAAGGGGAGAGAGAGGACAGAGCAAAAGACATTCGGTCAACAACCCCTCTTCATGTGGTCCGCACGTGTGTGCCATTCTCAATTATTGTTGATACACCTATAAAATATTGCATTCGTATAATGGGAACTGACTGCAGAGGAAGTAAAAGGCTGTAAACTTCAAACGCGAAGAGTAAAAAATTGAGGATAATGAAGTTATGTTGCAAGCGGCGTTTTATCAATCGGTCTTTAAATAGGAGCGAGTAAAAATGGACTTTGTTATGATAATTCTGGTCATCGAGGAGTGAAATGTGATACAACGGAGCGAACCAATGTTATCAGCGACATTCAACAAAGGAACTCTTAGATAGACCGACCTTTATCTTATTTTTATTTTTCCGTTAATTCCTTCCTCCCAACAGATTTTGGAGTACTCGAAATATCAAAACGAAATTATTACATTACATACACTTTAAAAACTTTATATTTAATATAAAAAATGTAACATTAATATGCATATTACAAAAAAAAAATTGAAAATTAATTTACTTAAGAAATACTTTGGTTGATAGACTTTTGGTCAAAAAATTGTTTAATAATAATGAAGAATTATTTTTTAAAATACAGTAAAGTATTAATTATATTATTGTAAAATGTACATGTGTTCCATTTCCTTAAAGTAAAAAAAATAGTTAACATCTATAATTATCCCCTGTTTATTTATAATATAAATATATATTTATGTTTCGTCTTCCTGATTTTAAGAGGGTTACGTACTAAATATGCATAGTGTTAAGAATTTATTATTTATACATTATTTTTTGAGAAAATGCATTTTCATTCAAATTATTTTCGTGCTTTAATATTTTAATAATATTTGTATTTCAATACTTAATAACAAATGTTATTTACATCTTTATTAGCAGAATTTATTTCTTTATTAAAACTAGTTTAAAGATGAAATTCGGCTGGTAAAATGTATACTTATTATTATCATTTCAAATAATTATTGGCACAATTATGACCTTTTGTTCTTAATAATTAGTAAAGTAATATTTCTTGCAAATTGATTGTTATTCATGAAAAATTAAACAGTAAATATAATATTGTAAAAATCGTAGTTTGTTTTGATTTAAATTGATTGATATTCAATTTTTACATTATTAAAAAAAACGAATCAATTAAATTAAAGAAAGATGTATTACGTAACTAAAAACGTAATAAAGCTTTTTTGTTAGTTATTTGTTATTATTTATAGATAAAAAAAACATTGCTTGATACAAATATATTTGTATCAAGTGTGTGAATATATGAATATTTTATGTTTTAAAATTATTTCAAAATATGCACCAAGTATAATTACAAACGTCATTACTTGAACTTATTTATAATTAACAAAACGGTTTGAAGATGAATGACATCTGGTGAAATAAGAGAAAAGTGTGCTGTAGAATGTTGCATTTCCAGTTATTAACATTAACGACACGGAAGGTTGTTAATTTTCTTTTATGAGTAACAAAAAAAATCCATGTAAATTTAAGAATATATTACTTACCAATGAAACTTGATAATAAACGTTGATTATTACAATGAAGATTACAATTAATTAACATTTTCTTAAAAGAAAGTTTAATATTTATTTTATTATTTAATATAAAAACTTGTAAAGAAAACTTCAATTATTAAATTTGATTATGAACAATATTTTCTCTTTTCTATATATTACTAATTATATAAGTAAATTGAAAATGAATTCCACCTTAATATTGCTTGATTTCTCTTCATTTATTAAAATTACATTTTTTTGTTAATAAATTTCAACATTTATAAAACATATTATATTAATGAATATACATCAATTTGTATATTTTGGCTATCAATGTTTATTATAATAACGTTTCAATTCCGAGTTTCCTTCTATTAGTTTCTATTTGATATAGTGCACAAGTCACCAATTCGCATCACTTTTAGCTAATTTTTAGGCTAATGCATTTGAATTTATCCAAAAACTAAATACTCTAACGCAATTTTAATGAAAGTTTAACATATTTAATCGTTTTTTATTACCGATATACTAAATTATCTTAAGAATATACAAGAAATATAATACATTATTATTTTTTAGACATTTCAATAATGCAACAACCTTTTATTTCTTGATTGATTATAATATTATCTAACTATTTGTAATGCATCGTTTTTTCACTCATTCAATATGATTAAAAAAGATTATTGAATTTCTAATTTCTTAATTAAAGCTCTTCGCTGCTTTGTCGATATGTTATCAAATGAACAGAAATATTCTTAAGTAATAAATGTATTAATCTACTGGAAGATAGAGTTATTTCAAGTTTAAATTTAGTGATGCATCGTTTTAAAAACATGATGCGGCCATGTGGTGAGTTCGTCTTTTCGTGAGACTGCACGTAACAAAAGGACAGACAGGACAGGACAGTTCGGGCATTTTGAGAGAAAGACGCATGCACTAAAAGAAAAACACAAAAGGGATTTTAACTTTCTACATTGTGTAACTTTATCTTAAGTTCTTTTAAATAATTGACGCACTCTCTCTAGGCACAAATTGTTGCATATTTATAGTATTCGAAGAAGTGTGTGTGGGTGGGTGGGAGAGAGGTAATTTTTTCTAAAGAATTTTTTTTGAAAATACTAACCCGAGGTCTGTTGAACGTGTCGTAACAGCGGGTGCCGTTCTGACCGATCGCCGGAGTATTTATTATTTCGTTTGCGACGGTCAAGTGCAATCCGTAAACCACCAGAAAAAGTCCCAGCCGGAACTTCACCATTTTTTTTTGTATTATCCCTTCGCTTCTTCTTCACGAGACTCTGTTGTTGTTGTTTTGTATATATTTTTCCTACTTCTTCACTCCCCAACGGCGTTTGTGTTGCTTGAGAGCACGACGCGCACTTTCCTTGAGGTCCACGCAACCCAGACAGGCAGACAAATGCAGCTCTCCAGATGCCCGATGCACCAAGATAACTTCGCCCTCCTCGGTCGAAACGCGTAGGGTGGGGGTGTTTACCGAAGATATTTATGTTGGAAGATTAAATCCGACTACCAGGAACCGAGGACGTTTCTGGCCTCTCGCTCTCATGTTAAATTATTATATTTCGTTGCATTTCGTTTTAGGTCGATAGCCTTACGCTATCTATTTATATTATACTATCATTATCACTTATTACAAATGAGAAATATGCGGAGTAACAGAAATTTTTAATTCAGTTTTAACGATTTATTTTTGTTTTTCATTAAAATCATTATATTAACAAATACATTGAGGAATACAACAATATTTAAAATCGTAATATTCTAAGAAATGTATAATTATTTAAAATTAACAAAAATATATTTTTAATGCAATCAATACTTTATTTCACAATAAATATTTTTTATTATTAGTTAGTGATGGAACAATTACGTATAACAATAATGTTAAATTATGTAAAGCGATTTCATTTTTAATGACTTTTTTCAAATTTTAATAAAATAATTAATAAAAATCTGATCTAATAGAAAATATATTAAATACTAGTAATCATTTAATTATTGAATTCAATTAATTTATTTCAATTGATGTTAATTTGGTCAATATTTCATTAAGTCTTGAAAATAATATTATTTTCTCGAATTTGTTTATATTTGTTAATTTTTAAGAATATGTTATTTACTAATGAAACTTGATATTAAACGTTGATTAATAAAATGAATAATATAATTAATTAACTTTTTTTCTTGAAAGAGAATTTAAGGTTCATTTTATTATTTAATATAAAGACTTCAATTATTATTCAATAGTTTCTATTTTTTGTATATTACTTTAATAATAATAATAATGTTTATTGCATCAGTCGTATAAAAAACATATACAGAAATAGAAAGAACAAAATAAATATATATAATATCCAAAAAGTTAACTGATACAAAGGGCTATTGACCATAGGTCTTTCTGCTCATATTAGTTTATTACATGTTTTTCAAATTTTAAATAAAATAATTAATAAAAAAAGAGCTTTCTGGTCTAATAGAAAATCTATTAAATATGTTAATTTTATGAATATTTCCTTAAGTCTTGAAAATAATATTATTTTGTAGAAAAAGAAAATTGAACCAAGTTTATTTGTAAATACAGTCAATAATTTACTTCATTCATAGATATAATCATTATTTTAAACATTTACACAAATCATAATTTGATTTATTTTATGTGAAACACCTTTAATTAAAAAAAATCTAATTAATAATTTACTTATAAATAATATAAAAAAACATCAATTTTATTTAACATTATTTGTATTTATTTTATATTGTATTGTACCATATTAAAATCTAGTATTACCAACTTAATTTAATACTAAATTTGTTATGATTTTCCTGTTTACCTTGAAATGAAACATGACAATAAGAAACATTTAAGTTAAATTAAGTCTTATTAAATAGTCAACAAATTATTTCATTACACAAACATTCATCACGAATGCATACAAAAGCATACATGAATGATTCATGTATAATTTAGTAGATTTACCATACAATGTCAATATTATATTATAAATAATTTTATTATAATATAAGTTACATAACTTTTTTATATTGTGCATTTTGTTTATATATTTAGTTATTAATGTTAAGAACATTATAATTACGCAAGTAAACTTATTGTAACAAATAAAGCAAAATTATTTGAAATTAATTTCAGTATATTTTTTTTAATAAGTCTTCTATATTATATACAATTTTATTTAATGAATAGTTTTAGAGCTGCATTTTAGGATTCTTTCAAATTAATAATTATAACTTTTATTAAAACATATTACCAACAATAAACTTAACATAATAAGAAAATTAGGGCAGAAAGACTTATGGTCAATAGCCCTTTGTATCAGTTGATTTTTTAAAAATTATATATATTTATTTTGTTCTTTTTATTTCTGTATATGTTTTTTTTTCTTTGTAAGACTGATTGATCTTTCAATTTATTATGACAACTTTCTCTTAATCGATTGAATTGTAATAATTTTTCAATGCATTTTATAAGAAAAAAAACATAGAACAAAGTCTATAATAAAATGTTATTATTTGAAATAGTGAATTTATCATATTACGAAATAGTCTTTTCGTTCATTGCTCTCTATAAAAAAATAATTCATTTTTTTCATTACAGCAAACATGAACGAATGCATGCGGATATAACAAAAAAAAACTCTTGAAGTTTAGTGACATTCATATCTCGTTTCCGCTGCGACATTTGTATCATAACCGGAAGTCCTATCAAAAAATGACAGACCGACATATCGTCTGGATCTTTTCTGAACAGAAATTGACTTTTATTCATCATAATTTTATAAGATTCATTACATTTTTCTCAAATCGTAAACATAATTTATTGGACAGAATGTATACAAAATTCTAAGAAAAAATCCGAAGAGAAAAACAGAAAACAAATTTTTCATTATTTAATTATTCAACGAAATAGAGAGAAATTAAGTTTATTTAATATTAAACTGTTTTCAAAATACAATTTATTTATGAAATATAATTCTTATTGATTACACAATAATGCATAAAGCTTTTAGAGTTTTCAATAATTGCCATTTGTTCTCCAGTGCTTCATTTATTTTGATTATTCAGGCTTAAAACAAGTTAGTTATGTAAGGAGATATTAAAGCAGCTGCAATAAATATTTGTTATATAATATTTATATTGTTTTATTATATTATTATTTTAATTTAACAATAAATTAGTAACAATTTCATTAAAACGTAAAAATAGAACATTTTTAAAGATAAAACCAGAAGAAATAAATTTTTCAACTAAAATTATGATAATTTAATTTATTGATTAACAAAGCCAAGTAATAACTGTAGTAATACTAAATTTTCGCTTTGATGCATACATAAATACACGTTTGCAATGCAATAATGTGTCGTTTTTACATATAGATGAAAGTTAGGCAGGTAGATTTCAAACATATGGCATACACATGTTGGGATTCTTTCAAGCATAAAATCGATGTTAATGTGCGAGTTCCCACTTGAAATCACAGCGATAAGAAGCGATATTCCAGAGAATTCCACGACGTTCAAACTAATTTTCATTGCTCAGAGTACTGTCCTTATAATCGGAACTACTTTCGGTGGTCGTCGTTAGATCGTTAGCGGGAGCATTAGTGTCAGTGCCGTTGCTCGAAGATCGTTTAACAGCTTTATAAGAACCCGAATCAGAATCGCTTTTAACAGTTCCATCCTTCGATTGTTTCTTCAACACGTACTTGATCTTCTCACCACTCTCTTTCTCTACATCAACTTGAAGTTTCGGAGATCCTTTATCCTCGAGAATGCATTCGGAACTTTCGGTTTTACTGATCCTGATCACCGGTATGATCGAGTCTTCGCGTTTCAGTCGATGTTCGCTGATCTTAACGTGCTTGTTATTATCGTCTGGCGTCTCTTGTTTAGTCTCCTTCAAGGCCGACGCGTCGTCAGGTAAAGATTCGTGCAATTCGGTGTCCGTTCCGTCCTCATCGGAGATCGACGGTCTCTGGGTTTTCAGTGACCGCAGTATGAATTTAGTGAGGATTCCTTTGTTGGTCATACCTTTCTCCTCTGGTATCACCTCGGACTCTTGTTTCGGTGTTTCATCGAAGCTCTTGCCGCTCGGCAATCCGTGCAGTATTCTCTTCCATTTCGAGAATGGAGCGTTGAATTCTCCTGATCCTCTGCGACGTCTGTCCGCAATTTGGAACATCTTTCTTCTCTCCTCCGTCCTCTCTCTTCTCAATTGAATCTATAAACAAAAATATATCAAGTTAATACTTCAAACATGATATTTTTTTCATTTCCAAAATAAAGTTATGACTTGTCACCACATTTCAAAAGCAAAATCCAAGATAAAAAACAATAATTTCTATTAATTACAATACATTACAGATATACAACCACTTGATAAGTTACTCTATATGGAAAAATAGACTATACCAATTTAAATTATTCTTACTTTGAAATCTTGGATCAAATTTTATTGATATCAATACTTTAATGTATATAAGGATCATTAGATTTTTCTACTAATTAAACTTACCTTAAGATCATCATTGGCCTCTCGTAAAGCATTGGTTAAGGAGATCAAATAATAAATGATTAAGATTAGTAAAACGAGCAGCGGAATGACGATACCGGGTGATGCAATGTAATCTAAAATTTTGTGGAAAGACTTTGGAAGTGCCATCTTTATGGTCTTCGTGAATACGTGAAAGATTCTCTCGTAATTAGAGAAAGGGCCACAATGCCAGGACGGCTCTAACCAAACTATAGTATACCCAACAGGTAGAACGCAGAGAAACAGCATCATCAGTAACAGAGCGAAGTAAAAGTTGTTCGATCTGGAAGCTCTGAAGATCACCTCGTGCGGTACATTACAAGTGAGGACGGCCCATGATCTTAGATACATCATGATGTACAATTTGAAGATGTTGAGAATAACTAAACCCGGACTGAAGAACATTCCCATCCAGACCATACCTTGATTATTCACTAGGTGAAGAATGTTCTCGGCAACTTTGAAATCTCCGTACTGCGGAAACTTCTTCTCCAGATCCCAACACCAGCAGTTATTCATGTACCTAACGAAGATCCCTCTGAAGAAATCTATAGCTAATGTTGATAGAACGGTCAAAACCAAATCCATGACTGTTAATTTCACCAGTTCTTGCCCGAACATAGTTTCCCAGCATAAACTTCTTAATTTACTTCGAGATTTATAATCAGTTGGGTAATTCATCAATTCATTATCGTTTTCCGTAACATTGCCAAGAACCAAAGACTCTGCCAATAAATTCAAGAGGTGTTCTGGTGAATAAGTTGCATTATCGTCTTCGATATAGTATGTAGCATTCTCCAATGTTTCATTGAAATCAATAGTAGTAATAATGTTACCAGTAATATTAGCAGTGATATTACCAATCAACTCTTCTAAATCTGATAAAGTGCTGTAGTTATTATTAATCATACTGGTCAATATATTGGATAAAGTAAAATTTTCTACATCGGTTATATTCAAAATGAGGAATTCCGTTGCATTTGATAATATTGTATAAATATCAGTTACATTCTGCATCATAGTTGTATCATCGTAATAATAGTTATCAGTTGTAGAAGACATTGCTGTTGTCGCATCAAGGCTTGTGTAAGTAAAACCTTTCGTTACATCTTCTGCTATAATCGAAGTTTCCGTTATATTTGGTTTTAACGATTGCAGACGATTAGTCTACGAAAAAAAATTATCAATAATTAATGAGATAACTGTGAAAATGAAGTGAACCTCACCATAACGCTTATTTTACCGAAAAGAGCAAATATCAAGGAATATAAATTCAATAAATTGAGAACCATGATCCTTGCTAATTGCAGACGCAATTGCTTCCTCGGGTGGTAATTCTCAAAGAAGCCTAATAACTCAAATAATATAGGGAAAAAGAGTGATATTAGAGACATAACGACGGTGATTTCATTCCTCCTCCATGTTGTGCTATTAGCTTCTTTCTCATTAGATCTATCAACTACAGTAACGACAGCAAAGGCAGATAAAGCCAGTAGCCCCAAAACGCCTATATTAACCAACACGCGTTTACCAATAATCTTCCAACTACAACATCAAACAATACAATAACTAATGCAATTTAAAAACCACCAAAAACTCACTTTTTAGCTTCACGTTTCTTCTCAGCTTCTTCCAAAAGCGCTTCCTTAAAACCCATGACGATAGAAGCCACTCTATTATGTGCAGTTTCAGCATTTCCAATCATGTAATCCCATCCGGTGAACAATTTCCATGAGAATATGCATTCGTCTTCCTTTTCGGATAACTTCGACATACGAGAATTTTTGGCCATCCTTTTAAGAATTTAGGTTTTTTTCTTGAGTCAAATTGTGAATTGCTATATTTAATTACTTACTTTCGAAGAGTCGCCACGAAGCTATAAATGTAGACGGCCAAACCGGTCAGGAAGTAAGTTAAGGGCGTTTTATCGTTTGGGTCCTTATCAGAATACCAGCCGTAGAACATTGGGGAATACTTGAAGACTCCTTCGAAGTCCCAAAGCGTTAAGAAATTTGTCGAATTGTATTTATCTTCAGGCAAGATGAGTTTTCTTTGAGTGTCCACGTTCAAATGAGTTTTTAGCATCTAAAATATGCAATGAAATCAATTTAGATAAGTTGAGCAAGTATTTTTATAATTATTTATTTTTAATCGAAATGGAAATGGAAAAAGTACATTTTTACAACTTTATTCTTAAAAAATGTTGTATATTAAACGAAAGACGAAACCTGGAACGAAAGCGTGGAAAAAAATATTTTTTATCTAATGTAACAAAAATAGACTATTAATAATTATTTTTTGATTAATTAGTTAAGTCAAACCAGATTTTAGTTAAGTCAATTTAACCCGTAAGTACCACGGATGGGTCAGAATGACCCACTTGATATCGCTGGTGTCAACAGTAGATTTATACATGAATCCTTACGATTGGTAAAGAAGAATTCTAGGAATTTTTTGATAAAACAAGTAGGACGTGTGTTGTATGAACCGTGCATGATTTTATTGCAAATATCATTTTGCTTAAGAGATTATGTAATAAAATAATTGACTAGTATGTAAACTAAAATACAAAAATGTCACCTAATTTAAGTAATCATGACGTAACATGACATAATGTAGTTAAATTCGAAATCATGAAGTATTTGATAAGTGTGGAATTAAAACACTTAATTTTGTATTGTAATTAATCCCATTATAAATATGCTTATTTTTTTTTATAATTAAATAAATAAGAAACCTAATTACTATGTGAATATATTTTATGTCTAATTATAATTAATTAATGTAAGAATGAGTGCAACCAAAAGATTCTCCAAAATCTTAGATTTCTGATTGCAAATATTATTTTGCTTAAGAGATTATGTAATCAAATAATTGATTAGTATGTAAACTAAAATACAAAAATGTCACCTAATTTAAGTAATCATGATGTAACATGACATAATGTAGTTAAATTCGAAATCATGAAGTATTTGATAAGTGTGGAATTAAATCACTTAATTTTGTATTGTAATTAATCCCATTATAAATATGTTTATTTTATTTTTTGTTTTGTAATTAAATAAAAAAGAAATCTAATAACTTTGTGAATATATTTTATGTCTAATTATAATTAATTAAAATAAGAATGAGTAATTGTATTAATTACCTCTGGAACGGTGATGAACGCAACGAGAATAATGGAAATGACGAGATTCACCCAAAACAGCCACCTGAGGAATATGAAGTAGGAAGCAACAACCGATCCGAAATGCGATTCGATCTCTTTGATCCGCAACTCCCACGGTATAAACCAATTCGACATATTTGCAGCCTCTCGTTTCACGTATTGCCATTTCTAATATAAAACACACGAAAAACGTCACTCACTCATAATTAGCAAAGAAAACAAATAACACAAGCTCACTTTGATTAAGTAGATATTAAATCTGGCCAACATATCTTTGGTGGAATGGCTTTGAGCCAATCTCTCCTGCAACGCTCCCTCATGTTTCTTAATGTAATTTTTAGCTTGAATAACCAAACGCAGCTTTTTCCGCATATTCCACGGCTGCATCTTAACACTGCTAAGAACTTCTTTATGCAAACGAATATTTTCGAAAATCTGATCCTGCGATACGGAAGCCATCAAACTGTCTTCGATTGTGATTCCGGTGCTGCAATGTTTTGAGTGTAATACATGGTAAAGTGCGATTGGTTACTTACTCTCCGCTGCTGGTGGTGAAAACTGAAGATCTTCGTCTTCCGTTCTCCCCATCGGGAAGAATGTCCGGACTGAAAGGAGAACTTCCCCGTCTTCCGCGTTTCTTCGATCTTCTGGTTGAAGCTCTCCTCTGCATTATAGCTGTAACACTGTTCGAATATTCCTCCTCCTCTTCCTCTTCTTCGAGATGCTCCTCATCTTTACCAATTGTATTAGAGTTGATTACAGGGTTTAAAATGATTTCGTACCTGCTATCGTGGGGAATTGCATTTTGTCTAATAGCTTGGGCGAGAATTCTCCCTTTATAGAATCATCTGCGAAGGTCACGGATAACCGGTCCACGGATGGTTGAGGGGACGCAGGTTCGAACTACGGAGAGAAGAAGCGGTGTTATTTGGGGTTGGTTTGTCTTGACGGTGCTGTGCACGAGTTGGGAATGCCCGGAGGGATTCGATCTCGATAAATGAGGGGTTGGTTGATGTAGAATGAAGAGAGAGAGAAAGGAAGGAAGAGCGGCGAGGCGCGAATGAAAAAGGGTTATAATTTAATAGAAATCCTGGCGAAAAAAGGAACAGCTTGTAGCACGCATTTATTCAATCTCGTGCCACACCTCGCATAACAACACTCTGAAAACGGACCCTGAAATACATATATTAGGACGAAAAAAGGAGGCAATTCCTGCCAATACGACGTGGCGTGTTTGATTCTATCTACATATCTGGATTCATTAGTTTTTCCCCTTGTAACTACATCAACAAAAAAAAATCATCCTCCTGCTTTTTCTTTCGAAAACTAATTAGGCTAAAAGACCGTAAATTCATTAAGCGGAAACGCCGTAAATTAAACACATCACAATCAGTAGGTCGTGATTTTT